CATATAGAAGTACGATATAATACGTAGAAATAAAATTTATATTTGTTTAATTTAAGATAATATGATATATATGTGTATATAAATATATATATACATATATATTTGTTATTTTTGTAGTCCATATTTTAGAGAGTCTAATAATTTCTCATTTTAAGTGCAACTTGTTTTTACGCATCTATTCTAACGAACTTGGCCGTCTTTTTCAGAAACAATTATCCGTTAATAACGATATGTTATAAAAATTGTTCTTGATTTTTTAATATCTAATATTTAATAAATGTATTTTTGGAAAACTTACATCCATTTTTACAGCCTGACTTTCCTATAAAAAAAAATAATTCCGTTTATATTATAACTAAAACATATACGCAAGATATTTCCGATTAATAATATTAAAAAATATGAGATGAAGGGACAGAGAAAATTTTCCGTATTTTGTTAAATCGGAAAAACGCATTTAACTACAACGCTATAGAGGTTTAACTATAAAAATTGCTTACATCAAATGATACTTTGAATGATGAATTGGCCTCCGTAGTGAAGTTCGATCCTGTAGAAAGCTGTGGTATTGCTTCCGCTATGGATGCATCCATGATCGACATAAAAAAAATTATAGCAAGGACCAATACTGATAGATATGGCATTCCCATTTTTAAATATTTATTGGAGTTCAAGTTATTTTCACCTGTATGTACGTTTCTGATTTGTCGGCGACGTTTAGAGCTTATATAGCACAAAAAATGCAATCTAGTCGTGGTTTTCGTATCTAACACGGAAGTACTTACATTTTATACTGCATAATGTTCAATATATGTACATAAATATTACATGCATAATCAAAACATTGTTATCTTATACGGGAAAAATATGATATATAAAAATAAATAATATAAGAAATTCAAATTATATACACAAAATTATTAAATTGTACAACATGGCACGCTACGTAAATACGCTATACGTATGTAGGTTTTTTATAGTTTTAAAATAATATTATTTTTAAATATAATATGTACATTATACTTAAAAATTACGTAATTTTAAAACTAAAAATAAAAATATATTAAATAAAAATAAATAAATAAAAACAACATTGCTACTTCTAGATGATAAAATCGTATCATTTAAGTCAGCATTACTATCTTTCGAGTAAATAGATGCATTGGGTTTGTTTCTTTAGCCATTTATTACATAAATTTCTACATTTAGGTATTATAGTGTTATTCCGTCGTATACAACTTTAATATGGATTGAAAAATTTAGTAATGAGACCAATATTGCTGTTGATTTTTCTTTAATGGAAATTTTAATAACCATTATTCATTATAACTTGGAAGCGATAATAATTGATAATATCAATGCGAATTGCGGAAACAATTGTATGTCTGAAAAAGAACATTGTTCGTGCAACCTTCGCAGAGCAAGGATTATTTCACTGATTCATAAATTCGGAATTGGATTGCATTAGATCTGTTCTATTTAGTTAAATTTTTGCACCAGTTCATCTTTCTTCCTTTTATCTTCAGGAGGAAAGAAGAACAAGAAAAATAAACTGATGCAAAAGTTCAACCAAAAAGAATTCCTATTATTAAATTTGTAGTATCAAATTTGACCTGATTTAAACTGCTGTTCCTCAATATTCATTATTTTATACTAATACGAAGTCATTATACAATTTAAAAATTGAATTAAATTTGATGTTATATATTTATCTGTTAAATTTAACTCAATTTGAATTGTTTTCCAATTGAAAATCTAACTGAATTCAATTGAATCCAAATAAAGTTTTCGCTATTCAAAATATGTATTTGGATGGATAAAATTTCAATCCATGTCAATCTGTTATTGTTTATTGGGAACATATTTGGAAAATTATGTTTTTCCCGTTTTTACATTTTTATTTATACGCAGCACGTTCAACAACCTACAAAAAGTAATAGGTTTAAAAAATCTAACGTATACGTATAAATTACATGTATAACTCTGTTAATACAATTTATTCGTACAATATTGGCCCTGTATTAATTCAATATATAATGAATATTTAATCAGTTATTGTTAATAAATCGCTACTAGGAGAGATAGGGTAACTCCGGTAAATACGTCGCACCTATCAAAAATTTAATTTATTAAGTATTATTTAGTATGTGTTTAGTAAACGAACTATATCAGTAAAAACTTTGTACTGTCTACTACTATGAAAAAAATATTAGAAATCCGAAATATTTATTTTTCATATTAAAAAATAAACTTTTTGAAACCTTATACTTTTGCTGCATATCCCATAGGGATGGGATATATGGCTACTCATAGAAGGAGAGGGGAGGTATGTACGGCTTATGAAAAATTTACAAATAATGCATATAAATAAAACGCGTATGATGACACATTAACTTATAAAATGTGTTTATAAAGTTTTATGAAGGAATAAGAATGGTAAATATGTATATGAAGTAATAAATAAAAATTACAATCTTCCTACATATATTACAAGTGTTAATGATCTTGGAAATGATCTTGTCGGCAATTTTCATAATCATATTTGTAATTAGGGCATCAAAATACAGTAGTATGTCAAGCGACAAGAAAATCGGGGGTTCACCTTTTCAAAAGTCTATCCTACGTTTTTATTAATATATGTAT